TGAAGATGATTTGATATGTAAGAGTATGCTTAACGTACAATAATTATTAAAACGGGACAAGATTATTCACAAACAATTTGATAAAACAAGGATATCAAGAAGTTCTATGGCCGATACAATGACATTTATCAGAAAATAAGAAAAATGTATCATTAAAATATTAGTATGTAAAATGCTGATGGACATGTATACTTATTGTTTATCCGTTATTTCCAGACTGAATTGACAACAGATTTTCCCTTTAGTCTGTTTATGACAAAGAGCACACAGGGATGGGGATGTATTTGTGGGACATGGATGCTCTAAAACGAGGTAATTTATTGACAAACAAGTTGATGAAACAAGAAAATCAGCAGTCTTATTTTAAGTCAGAATTTCGTAAGTTCTATGGTCGATAAATTGTTAGGCTATTATTTACACACTCATAAAATTGTCGACGGATTTTTTTTGTTATTTCCTGATCATGACAAGAAGCACACAGCGTGTGTGACTAGTCGGCAGTGGATGCTCACTCCACCTGCTTCCATCTCTGATGACGTTTTTGGGGTCCTTGTTTGCTCTGCTCCCGATATGTATTGTTTCAGATGACTTGACCCCGAATACTGTTCATCATTTTCATCTTGCATTTATACTTTTAAGACAAAAACACACATGTACTAACTTTTAAAACATAAGAAATCTAAATCCGTACCAGGTCCTACGTATTTGCCTGATTAGATGCATTTGTGAACAAACATTGTGTAAAAGGGTTGTTGGTCCATCCGTTTCTATACGTGTGTCCATCCTTTGCGCTTTGAGATACCCATCTCCTCATCCGCAACCCCTTTTAAACCATCTAGTTTAATAAGCATGTGTATTAAATTCTGACAATTATTAGACCATAAATTGAACTTTTTACCAGAAATCATCAATTCTTTGATTAAAAAAAGGGATATTTATTATGTTTTAACAAAAGCACATTTTTCTTCCTTCAAAATTCGTTCAATCTCTAGACATACAGCTTTTGTCATCGCCCTGAAACAAAACAGGTAAGAAATTTTTAAAAAGAACTCAAGAATTGGAAAATAAGATTACTCAATTAATAAAATAAGAAATAAAAATGAAAGAACTTTTAAGTGAAATAAAATGTACCTTGAAATAATCCACAGCAAAATAGAAGAGCTTTCTTGGTCCAAACAAGCTATCATCATCTTCATCATCATCGTTAATTTTATCGTTTTGACCGATATTCACAAGCTACGAAAATTGTCAGGTTGTAATATAATTATATGAAATTTATTCTAATACTTATATTTTATACAATTTAAACAGATTTTCAGAAGGACAACAAGCAACGTGTTTAAATTTTTAATAGACACTTTCAAGTTCTTTCACGAGTTGCTTTTATTTCCTTTTATGTAAGGCTTGTAATTTAAAGTACCCATATTATAGTTACCATTCTCCGGTCTGGAATCTGTTGTGTTCTTGCTATCTGACTTCTTTCTGAGCTCTCCATTGCTATCTGATTTTTCTCTGGATCGTCTGCTGCCATCTGACATTTCTCAGTGTCCTCTACTGCCATCTGACTTTTATCTTCGTCCTCCATTGCTATCGGACTTTTCACTGGGTCCTCTACTGCTATATGACTTTTCACTGGATCCTCTACTGCTATCTGACTTTTATCTGTATCCTCTACTGCCATCTGACTTTTATCTGTATCCTCTACTGCCATCTGACTTTTCTCTGGTCCTCTTCGGCTATCTGATTTTTCTCTGGTCCTCTTCTGCTATCTGATTTTTCTCTGGGTCCTCTACTGCTACTCCCTGACTTTTCTCTGGGTCCTCTACTGCCATTTGATTTTTCACTGGGTCCTTTCTGCTATCTGACTTTTCACTGGGTCCTCTACTACTATCTGGCTTTTCTCTTGGTCCTCTACTACTATCTGAATATTCTCTGTATCCTCTACTACTATCTGACTTTTCTCTGAATCCTCTACTGCTATCTTACTTTTCTCTGGATCCTCTACTGCTATCTGACATTTCTCTTTGTCCTTTACTGCCATCTTACTTTTCTCTGGATCCTCTACTGCTATCTGATTTTTATCTAGATCGTCTACTGCCATCTGACTTTTCTCCTGGTCATCCATAGCTATTTGACTTTCTCCTGGATCATCTATTGCCATCTCACTTTTCTCTTGGTCCTCCATTGCTATCTGACTTTTCACTGGGTCCTCTACTGCTATTTGACTTTTATCTGGATCTTCTACTGCTATTTGACTTTTCACTGGATCTTCTACTGCCATCTGAATTTTATCTGGGTCCTGTACTGCTATTCGACATTTCTCTGTGTAACCTACTACTATCTGTCCTTTATCTGCGTCCTCCATTATTATCTCATTTTTCACTGGGTCCTTTTCTGCTATCTGACTGGTATCTGGATCTCCTACTGCTATCTGACTTTTCACTGGGTTCTTTTCTGCTATCTGACTTTTATCTGGATCTTCTACTGCTATCTGACTTTTATCTGGATCTTCTACTGCTATCTGTTTTTTTTTTACATGGGTCCTCCATTGCTATCTGACTTTTCACTTGTTTTCTTTTTTGACGTCTTTTTCTTCTTCTTGCTGAGTGTTTTATTGCTTCTATTTCTCCACCACTAAAATGTTAATAACGTTAAAAATGAGAAAGTTTTTTAAGATTAATATTCATTTCCTGTTCTAGAATGCAACGCAGCATGAAAGGAATAAATAAAACATTTTTACATTTTCTTAAATTTTAAATCTGTATTTTAATATTTGAATATATCCTGATAGACTGTGTATTTAAATGAAATTTTGGAAACAGCCTTAACAGGGGATGTATGAAATAGCCTTAGGTTTTGTAGAATATTGTTTTATAAGCCATAATTTACGGAGTTTCTTAGATCTTTTTCGCATATCTTTGGTGTACTTTAAATCCAATTATTGGATCACTCAGAGATACAAATCATTTCAGAGAACAAAATCATCTCATTTCATACACTCGTATTTAACATATTAGATAATATTCACATGTAAGAGAAGGTTACGTAATTACCTATAAGTATTCAACCGCTGGGTTCTCCTGCTTCTGGGAGCTTGATCAATTCTACTTTTCTCATCTAATGCTATCTGGCTTTTCTCTGGGACCTCTTCTGTTATTTGACTTATCTCTGGGTCCTCTACTGCTATCTGACTTTTTACTAGGTCCTCTAAGCTATCTGACTTTTATCTGGGTCCTCTACTGCAAACTGACTCTTCTGCTATCTGACTTTTCTTTGTGTCATCTACTGCTATCTGACTTTTCTCTGGGTCCTCTACTGTTATCTGACTTTTCTCTGGGTCCTACAGTTATCTGACTTTTCTCTGGGTCATCTACTGCTATCTGACTTTTCTCTGTATCCTCTACTGTTATCTGACTTTTCTCTGGATCCTCTACTGCAAACTGACTTTTCTCTGGGACCTCTTCTGCTACTAGTATCTGACTTTTCACTGGGTCCTCTACTACTATCTGACTTTTCTCTTGGTCCTCCATTGCTATCTGACTTTTCTCTGTATCCTCTACTTCTATTAGACTTTTCTCTGTATCCTCTACTGCTTTCTGACTTTTCTCTGGGTCTTCTACTGCTATCTGACTTTTCTTTGTGTCATCTACTGCTATCTGACTTTTCTCTGGGTCCTCTACTGTTATCTGACTTTTCTCTGGGTCCTACAGTTATCTGACTTTTCTCTGGGTCATCTACTGCTATCTGACTTTTCTCTGTATCCTCTACTGTTATCTGACTTTTCTCTGGATCCTCTACTGCAAACTGACTTTTCTCTGGGACCTCTTCTGCTACTGTAGATCACTTAATTTTCGCGACACCTTATTTTCGCTAGAAAGTCATTGACTCTTTATTAGCGAGACAAAATTTTCACGAATTATGGTCATTGCTCTATATAATCTTAAGAAATTCTATTATACGCGACAAAGAAATTTTAGCGAGCAAACTGTCTCGCGTTATTACGCGAAAATAAAGTTCCCGCGAATAAAAAGTGATTTACAGTATCTGACTTTTCACTGGGTCCTCTACTACTATCTGACTTTTCTCTTGGTCTTCTACTGCTATCTGACTTTTCTCTGGGTCCTCTACTTCTATTAGACTTTTCTCTGGATCCTCTACTGTTATCTGACATTTCTCTTTGTCCTCTACTGCTATCTGACATTTTACTGGGTCCTTTACTGCCATCTGACTTTTCTCTGGGTCCTTCACTCCTATCTGACTCTTCTCTGTAACAATTACTGCTCCCTCACTTCTCTTTGGGTCATGTACTGCTCTCTGATTTTTCTCTGGATCCTCTACTGCTATTTGAATTTGATGCTTCTCATTTTCCTCGTTAAAAATACTTGTATCTATTTTCCTTTCCTCTGTTAGTATATGTTTAGCAGTCTAAAGAATAAAGTTAGAAATTTATAGATATATATAAAAAAAATTATATCTTTTACCAATGTCATTTTAGGTTCTGTTTACTTGCATTTTCTTGGATTTTTTAGCACAATAAAACAAACTAATTTCATTTACATCTTGGATTATTTTATGGAAATTTTGATTGCTGCATGTAATTTTAAAAATATTAACTGCATATTGATAATTTTACCTCTTGTTTTACTTTTTGACTTCTTATTCTTCTTCTTGCTGAATGCCTTATTGCGTCTTTTTCTCCACCACTAAAATGTTTTAAAATTAAGTTAAAAATGAGAAATTCTTTGTGTTTATTATTTTATTTCTTATCCTTTTGTGAAATTTTGGAAATGGGGGATGTCTGGAATAGCCTAAGGTTTTGTAGAATATTGTTTTATAAGCCATCATGTACAGAGTTTCTTAAATCTTTTTCGCATATTTTTGTGTACTTTAAATCCAATTATTGGATCACTCAGAGATACAACTCATTTTTAGAGAAAAAGAATCATCTCATTTCATACAATATTTGACAGATAACGCACATATAAGAGAACATTAAGTCATTAACTATAATTATTTGACTTTTGTGCACTCCTGCTTCTGCGATCACGTCTGCTTTTCTCATTGTAACTTATCTTTATTGATGCATTTGCTTCCTGCAAACAAAATATTGGTTTAAAAAAATTAAAGTGATATATTATTCTTTATTTTATTTTAAAATTGTGACACTTTATGCATCATTTTAATTTTTATTTAGATGATGATTGCTCATAAAAAACCCAGAATCAAACAATGTCTGTCAGGTGAGAAAGTTTGAATCGCTGAGAAATACCTCAATTGTTTTCTTATCCTCCTCTTCAACACTCTTGGCCCAGGAATACTCGAATTTTAATATCTCAAGCTTTTCTTTCTGAAAGTAAGGAATAAATATATTAGGGGGAAAATATGTATAAACGAGAATTATATTTGTTTTACGCAAAGATTTGGTGGATTTTGAATGAGAAAAAAAAATCGCTGTCTACATTCTGTTAATGAAAGATTAAACCCAAATTGAACTTACCCAGTTTCCATCAGGTTCATTTCCAAAATTCAAAATAGTATTTTCTCTACAAAGAGAATTCAATGCTTTAATTAGCTATTGAAATGTGCTTGTGTTAAGCAGATTCAGAGATATTTTTGTAGTGACAACAGTACCTGCTTTTGTCATTGTTTGTGTCTCTTCTCTTCTCCTCTGCAATTTCTTCATTCATCAATTTAGCAATTTCCTCCAGGTGTTTTGGGACCTAATATTCAAAGTATATACATAAATTACGTGATCACAGTTATTTGATTGGTCGAGATTAATTATTTTTACAAATAAATAGAAAATATATTCCCAAGAGTACTATTTTTTTTATTAACAACTGTTACAGTGTTTTTTGTTGTTTTTTTTTTAAATCTATGTTACATGTATGTTTTATACCATATACTTATTCCGCGTACTTCAAAAATTCATTGAATCGGTTTTATTTTTAACACATTAAAATTTGTCTGGTTATTTTTTTTTTCTGAATTGCGCAATTAAAGTGAAGTAACAAACTTAATAAAAATCCGTCCTTGATTTAATCCTCTGTACGTACCTCTGAACCTCTTTCACTTTCTTCCACGGCATCTGCCCAATTATAGCTAAACTTTAATATCTTGAGCTTTGACTCCTGAAAATAATTATTAAATCAATAAATTAATACGATAAATATTTATTTTTATAGAATATAAAGAGGGTAGAAAGTGTCTATATCGTATTAGGAATGGAGAATGAATATCCCCAAAAAATGCAAATAGTTAATAATACGTCATTTGAAGTTGATTCTAGTTGACTTTAAATAAGCACTAGCAAAGAAATAAAGAAGAATTACATTAGATAATTAATTTAGTTGCTAGAGTACTTTGAGGATATCTTTTGTTGTGGTTCTGATTTCCTTTATATTTAAGTAAGTCCCCCCCCCCCGGGAAAAAAAAATACATTTGGGTTGTTCAAGTTTTTTATTTGCTCTTCAAATCCCCGCCCCACCTACATTTTATATTGATAACTACTGGTATGATTGCATGCAATGTGTATATATTCATTATTCAATGTTATACTTACAAAATCTGTGACAGCATCCTCTCCAAAATACAGTATTTCATTTATATCCATCTTTGTTTGCTCTAAGAAGAAAAAAAAAACAAATATATTTTTTAGATATTGAAAAATATAAATATTGTTCATAATGAAAGAAGAACAAAAAATAACCTTGTATTTCCACGCTCTATTTGGATTACTTTTGTTGTAGTGATGATTGTTACGTAACACTATTTATGACGTCGAGCACGTAAAATTATGACATCATAGTAGGTACAGAAGATATCTTGGATATTTACTTTAATGTTTTAATGAATATAATAAAATATGCAAAGTACATGTAACATATCTAAATTGAAGCACTGGATATACATAAATAGATAACTCACCCACCTGTTGATATTTTTTTTAGCAAATTCATGTTTTCGTAATCAAGGATCTTGTTTAATAAATCAGACTATAACATGTACGTTGTAAATTACTTGTAAAGAACAAAAAAATTCGTGATTTAAAATTATTCATCTTTGTGTATTTCCTCAGTAGACAGCTATATCAATTTACCGTATTTGGTGTATCAAAGTATATAGAGAGCCCTGTGGATTTATATACTTTGTTGTATATTGAGCAAAAAGTCTAAATATGCCGGTTAAAGCGAAAATCGGCAAACATAGATATTTTTTATTAATACTAATGTAATGTGCACTCTGAAAATACTGATAAAACTTTTCATATTTGCATGATAAACTTTTTCTAATGTGTTGGTGTCGGAAACTTATTCAACTACATGTATCCATTGCTTCTTGTTTCGTCCGTTTTTGTTTATATTTTATGAAAAAAAAACCAAAATTCCTAAAAAGATACAGAAGAAAAACATCTACTTACCTCCTTTCTACTTTTGTTTGGTAGTGAAGGCAATATCATTGTGACGTCATAAAAGATCATTAACTAACACCATGCAACGTCACAGTTGAAAATATTTTTATAAAAAAAATAATAAACTTGAAAACAAAAAGTTCAGGCACACAAGCTCATAAGATGGAGAACGTATGCCTCGGGAATTATTTCAATATCTTTAGACAATATTCAAGATTTACTTTATATATCTATAAAAAATGACGATTGTCAATGCACATTTCGAAGTGTTGGGGTGGTGGTGTGTTCGATCTTCTTTTTTAACTTTTTAAACCTTTTGATACATTTGAGATCAACATGCTTGATCGATATTTTCGGTGAATATCGTGCAACAACAAAAGCTGTAAGGGACCAGCACCTACAGGAAAATTTAGAGAAAGTATATTTATAAGGCCCAAAGGAAGTAAGTTTAGTTGAAAAGAAGGGGGGGGGGGGGTACCATACATTATCAGCTGAGGAAACGTTCATCTACCAAAAATTCCATGACTATTAAATACTTATTTTCCTAAAATTAAGGTCCTACGTCGTTTTATGTTGGGGGCAAAAGCAGCTAGCTGAAGTAGAGGAAAATTTACTGTAGCAAAATGTTGTACTCAGAATAAATATTACACGACTAATAAATACTTATTTTCCTAAAATTAAGGTCCTACGTCGTTTTATGTTGGGGCAAAAGCAGCTAGCTGAAGTAGAGGAAAATTTACTGTAGCAAAATGTTGTACTCAGAATAAATATTACACGTATGAAACCTGTATTAATTATTTTAAAACAGTCGGTTATGTTAAAACATTCGAGGTTGTTTTCCGACCTCTGACGGAAAGCCCGAGATGATGCGATTGGGAGTAATAGTAGATTAAACGTTATTTACGTGAAATGAGCACTTTTCAGACTTCAGTTTGGTATTGCAGTTTACCTTGGAGTCTAGACGTATCAAATGTCACGCGCTTTGAAGACAAAAATCTAAATTAAAACTATATGCACACGCCCTAACGTTCGCAATGTCATCTAAAAGGGTAGAAAAAATAAATTCTAAAACCGCGTACAGTTTTGTAGGTATCAAGATTTTAAAATAGCCTGGTTCCCTCAGGCTAGCGCACCCCACTAAGTGCTGCAGAGCAATCACATCATCTTGGGCCCTTCCGTCAGATTTTGGAAAAACAGCTTCCGCTTGTCGGAAAGACTTGAGAAGTACACGAAGCATAACATTAATTTATTCACTGACCTGACCGATTATATTCTTGTAGACTTCTATGCATCATTCGAATGCGAATAAATGAAATTTCCGACGCAAACGACAGTTGACACGTAATGTTCTTAGTTTTAGCACTTTTCGGGAATAAACGCAATTCAATCGCTTTACTATTTGGTCAATGTCCTTGTTAAAAATTGTCGTTAAAAATATATATATATATACATGTAGTGTCAGATACAGGTCATTTTAAATAAATGAAGAAAGTGGAAAATCTCCTTTTAATTCGACACCCAAAATTTAAATTGATTGCAAAGCAGAAAATGCAAAGCAGAAAAATTATGTTCAATTTCTATTTGATTTTCTGTATCCAAACACTCTCCTATGGAGTATGTCTCGTCGCTTTCTTCCTATCACAATGACGTCAGGATTTGTAGCTGAAACAACAGAGAGAATTGATAAAAATAGAAACAAATGACACTAAACTATAAAGCTAACACAACATAGTTGTAAATAATAAAACCAAAATTGATCTATCAATTGCGTTGACCGAAAAAAAATCTTAAGAAAGTCTTTTTTTAAGCTTTTAGTTTTCTTTAAGAAGGATGATGTGAAATCACTTAATATTTGGGTGGGGTGGGGTGGGGGGGGGGGGGTACGGTGTCAATTTCGTTGTTTTCAAAGTATGTGGAGATCCACAACTTTATGACAAGCCTCGAAATGTAAAATTTCATATGCATTACTAAAGCACTTCTCCTACAACGAAATCAAATCCCCACAACCCAATATTTTTTTCTTAAACCTCGAAAATTTGACCCGGCCACGAAAATATGCGATTTTACAGTATTGTGTTAAGAATTATTTTCAATTTGGTTAACGTTGAAACGATCTACTTATATTACTATTGGAAAGTATTTAAGGTTTAATTTGTCTTAATATGACTATTTCTTGGCTTATTGTTGATCCAAGACCAGCAAACCTATCAACTTAGAAGTTTGTATTAATGCCATCTCCGTCCATTGTATGTTGCTTTAGGCCCCATTCGAAAATTTTCATTTATATAAAGAATTCACAAAATATGAAGGGCTTCAAAAGACTCAAATGAGCTCTATGGCCAATGGTTCTTTATCCTAGCAACGTCTACAGTGGTATGGAACTTTGGTTTAAGGTATCACCCACTATAGCTACTTAATTTAACTAATGTCGGGTTCTTCACTACCTATGCTAAGGTGTTAGGTTTGACTCAGTGCGCTGAACGAAAATCGAACCCAGAATTCTAGATTACAAGGCGGAACACCTTACCACTGGGCTTCTGTGTTATTAGGTGAATGTTATATTAAAGCAATGTAACCCTTTACTTCTACATACCAGGCAAAATTGATGAAAGGACATTTTTTCTTTGTAACTATTGCAACAGCATTTACAATTAATAAAACATAGATTTTGTTTTTAATAAGTTTACGCCTTTTAAAAACTCCCATAAAAATGGGAAATTAAAAGATATTTAAAACAATATCAAAAATATACTTAACAGATGCTTAGTATAACAATGACTCACTCATTGGTTTGGGCATTGTACTGGATAGAAGTAATGGAGGGGCAGTCATCTCCACTGATGTAACTGGGGCTATAACATAGAATACATGTCCAAAATGAAATCATTCACAAATTATTGCTTATGAATCAATGTCACAATTTAATTACACCTTCTTTTAATATGAGGGTTCAATAAATACAATTTTATATTTGGCTCTTCTGCAAAGAAAAACTCATACAGTCTTCATACAGTCTTGGACCTTCCAGTGTTGAGTCTTTTCATACGTTTTCACATATTTTTATTATTTCGTTGTTTTTAATGTAAAAGTAAAGCTAATCGTTCAGCTAGTGATCGATCCAAATAATCTATAAACAACACAAATAGGTAAAGTGGACATAAAACACGGACCCATTGTTTCCTAGGAGGGATCGGGTGCCTAGAAGGAGAGAGCATCCCCTGTCGACCGGTCATACCCGCCATGATCCCCATATATTGATCAGATGGACGGAACATTCAATAGTCAAATTCAGTGAGAACAGCATAGGATTAACAATTGATATGAATCAAGTCAGCCTAAATGCGACCCATTAACAGGCTTTATTGGCAATCAGGGGCATTATTATGACCATGCAAATTGCAAAAGGCCAATTTTAAACGAGGTTGTTGTTGAAATCCCTGTAACATCAGCTTATCAGTCAGTAGCATGCCTTGCTTTAAATATTGATTGTACTCAGAACAAGTTCGAGTAGCGAATAAGTTTGGAGACATAAACTACATACGCAGGTGAAAGTGGAATATTACTTTCATTATTTTATCTAATAAGATACATCCTTTTTTTCAACAATATCAAAAAGAGAACATATACATGTATATGTAAACAATGCTTACCTTATGAAATGTGATTTTTTGTAAACAGGATTTTGATAGTATAAGAATAGTTTGATTGAATGACTGATATAAATTGACTGACAAAAATACATCAACAAGAAATTTTAAAGAAACGTACGTGTACAGAAATTACAGAACACGGGGCAGTTGTTTTCTGCATACACTTGATTTTCAAAGCAGATGATTGGCCCTGCAGAAGTGCAGTTGTTATTTTTGGTATCAGCACAAATACGTGGGGTGGTGGAAGGTTGAGGAGTGGTGGTGGTCGTCGTCGTCGTGGTTGTTGTGGAAGTGGTATCAATGGCTATTGTATTACATCACCACAAAAAGATATGGTTGTTATATATTTTAATTGTAAAAACACAGCATGTATACAAATAATAATGAAATGCAATTGCAAAATTTGTGCTTACATATCTCCATTAAATAAAATGAAAACCTTACCCTCACAGAAGACACAGAATTTTGGGCACTGAACAGCTGCCCACGATGTATACTTAAAACAAATCTCAGGACCGTAATTGATGCACGTTGGTACCTTATCTTCACATACTGTATAGTTTCCTTCAATAAAAATTAAATTGATGATTAATGTACTGCTTTGAAATGTACATACGAAAATGTTTCACTACATGTAATTTGACAGATTACTAATTATGGTTAAAAGTAAATCATAATATAAGATATAAATTTCATATCTTACTGGTGGTTGGGGATGGAGTCTTTAGTGTAGTGGTGGTGGTAGTTTGTGTGGTGCCCGTATCTAAAAAAAACACACGATCTGTGACAACAGACGTATTATATAAGAAAAAAGCTCTTAATTTTAAATTGATCAAACACAATTCATCAGAAACCTGTATAATATCAACGTATTGGTAATGACAATGACAGGCATACAGAACTCCCACATGTTTTATAATATCTTTGATATTGTCAGCAATATATTGTCTGACCTTGTCAGCAAATACAATTTATCATTAAGTCAAATGCTCATTGCTGACTGACGCTTTTCATACTAATTGTAAGTCTATTATTTATACATTGAATTGACGACGGATATTTCCGTTATTTCCCGATCATGACAAGGAGCACACGGTGGGTGTGACCGGTCAACAGGGGATGCTCATTCCTCCATGGCACCTGATCCCACCTCTGACGTTTCGGAGGTCCGTGTTTGCTCTGCTCCTATTTTGTATTGTTTTATGGACTTTGATATTGAATACTGTTCGTTATCTCCATCTCCTTCCTATATATTCCTATGTAAAAAATTGATTAGCCATTGTGGCCCCGCCCTACCCCAAAAGGTCATGATTTGAACAAACTTGAATCTGCACTACCTGAGAATTTTTCCACATGAGTTTCATTTTTCCTGGCCCAATGGTTCTGGAGAATAAGATTATTATTAAAAGATTTTTCCTATATTCCTATGTAAAACTTTGATCAGCCATTGTGTCCCCGCCCTACATTCGGGGGTTATGATTTGAACAAACTTGAATCTACACTACCTTAGAATGCTTCCACATGAGTTTCATCTTTCCTAGCCCAATAGTTCTGGAGAAGAAGATTTTTAAAAGATGCCATTCATTTTTCACTAATTCATAATTATCTCCCCTTGGAAGAGGGATTGGTCCTTCATTTGAACAAATTTGAATCCCCATCACCTAAGGATACTTTGTTTAGTTGAGTTTAGTTTAGTTGATATTGGCCCAGTGGTTCTTGAGAAGAAGATGAAAATGTGAAAAGTTAACGACGACGACGACGGACAACGGACAAATTTTGATCAGAAAAGCTCACTTGAGCCTTCGGCTCAGGTGAGGTAAAACGTGAAATTTTGAATATGACGTAAACAATAGTCACATTAAAAACATTAAATTAATATCTTCTGTGGTTTCAAAGCTAACATAAAGGTTGCTATAATTTTCGGATTGTGTATGATAAAAATTCAAATTGGGCTCTGAAAAATAAACTGTCGTTGATTTGATACTCAACAAGTTATAATTTAATTTAAGTAGTAACACGTCATTTGATTCGATGAAATATTTAGTATATGTCGTATAACATATGCTGCCTACGTCACTCTGAGTTACGTCATAACTCCGCATGACATTACACTTAGTTTTAAAATATGCTCGATTCGAGGCCATTTTTAAAGTCTGATTAGGGGAAAAAAAAACGGGTTTTTGAGGGGAAAAGGGGGGGGGGGCGTTTACGCGTTCTTTTAAACCGCTCCGCGGTGTTATAGAGGGTAAACTGTCCCAGTTATTTTATATCGTATAACATAGGTTAAAATAAGCTTCATTCCTTAAATAACAATTCAAATTAGATCCTTTAAACATTCCAAGTTTTGATCAAATTAATATAGAAAGGATCCCAATTGCCAATATCCTCATCAATTTTGTAACTCTTTATTAAGTTTTTGTGCCAATGAAAGAAAACATACCGTGACAAAATAAACAGAATCGTGCGCAGTTTGTGACTGACCACTTCCTGTACGTCACACATACGTCACCACTATAATCAGCACAGTTTCCGATTCTATCAATACATGGACCTTAAATGATGAAGAACATTTCATTTGATATTTGTAATATATATGTATTAGTATTATTTAAAGTCTGAAATATTATATGTACAATAAAAATTTTAATTTTGAAACCATGGCTGGATTAAACAGCATTTTTGATTATTAAAAAAAAAAACTTAAAGTTTACAAGGTGTGACAAGCTTTGTAAAATATAACACCCAAATAGTCAAGTTTCACTGTAAAACTATGGGAAAGTATTAATGTCTATTGAGGTTACAAAATATAATGAAATTGACAGACCATATTTATTTCGATAGTTTACATGTATCAGAAATTTATTTACAATTGCAGATGTATGTTAGATAACATACCACTGGAAATCGGAGGTGGTGTTGCGTCTGTGAAAAAAATAAAAGATCCTTATTTTAAATATGCATTTTTTCAAATTAACCCAAACATGTAGATCTGATTTGTTTTCAGACATCTTATCACATAACACAATGCTTCATGCATGTGAACTCTCTGCAGTTTGTGCCATATATGATTTGGACGTTAACTAAAAAAATATTTAAAGCTTTTCTCTTGAATTGAATCACACTGTTATAACAAAAATTTTCATTCCATTATTCATACATAATCAACCATTTCAATGTTCAAGCATTATGATCTTTATTCTACATTACAATGCATGTAATTGTATATTGTCATTTTCAATTAATAAAGTGTCAATTTTTTCCTCAAAATTACATTCGTATGTAAAAGATAAATATCTTTATTCTAATTAAATAAAATTATCTGAAAGTAAAAGCTATTTTTGACCATACATGTCGTTGATGAGGCCGTCGTCGGTTTTGTCGAAGGCTGTGTTGTTGGTGATGTTGTTGCAGACGATGAAGTCACAAGTGTCGTCTGTGTTGTGGGTGTTGTCGCTGTTGTTTGTTTAGATTGGGGTGTAACAGTTGTAGATGTTGTAATGGTAGATTGGGTCGTCATCGTGGTTGTTGATTTGCTGTTGGTTGGGGAGGTTGGTTTTGATGTCAACATTGAAGTTAGTTTCTGAGATGTTGACGGGCTGAATGTTACAGGGGGTTCAATAGTGCTTAAATACCCTTAAGTGACAAAATATTGTATGCATGAACATTAATTTAAATAAAAGCTTTCAATGAATGTTTTGAAAAGAGAAAGATTGATTATTTGGCATGCTATTGAAAAGAAAAAGAAGGATAATTAAGTATGCTCATGTTGGAATTGAAGATTAAAATTGTGTTTTTATTAAAAGAAATAAATATCAAGCAGTCAGTATACAAAGGGAAAATTAAAATATTTGTAATATTTCAATGTAATTGATATGCAAAAATCTTTTAAGAAAGTTTGTTATACGATATCAAAAGACAACTTAAGTAGTATATTAATCTCTCTTGTACCTACCTTCACAGTAAGTGTTCTGCACAAGGCTATGTATAGACGATAGGTTGGCGAAGCTGTCCACCATAAACACGTGGCCACTATTACTGGCTATATCCAGTAGTTCACTTCTCAGAACGTTTCCTCCTATTCCAATAGCGTATATCCTTACACCGGCATCTCTTAATTTCTGGGCCCCCAAGGAAGTAGCACTATGATTCTGGGATTGTCCGTCAGTTAAAACGAAAACGATGTTTGTAGCTGATGGTCTATCTCCGCTTCTGTTTGTAAAAATGTACTGTTCTGCCAGTTGGAAAGCAAGATGTGTGTGTGTTTGTCCAAAAACATACGGAATCTATGATAATTGGAAAAAATGTGCTCATTGTCCTAATAAACTAAATGATACATAGGCCTAGTATAATTAAATTTAGACTTTAAGTTTAATGGTGCCTAGACACATATTTGAAGTTAATATTTTCTCCAATTTTCTGTATAATATCAGGACCTATATATTGCAGTAGCATTTCACACGAAAATATGATAAATATCTTTTTTCCATCTCGAAGAAATTGAAACTTCGATATTATAGACGTTTTTTTTTTTTTTTTTTTTTTTTTGCACATTGTTGTACTTTTACAAATTTTAATTTTATTCTAAATACTGAAGAAAAGTGGAAATTTTATTGTGTATCAATGAAAAATATTAAACTATAATACAGGAAATTCATAGTAGAAATGTTCGAAAGTAAAATACCCTCACTAGTATCGTCAGTCCGTGCTCAGTAATCTGTACGGATTTTAACAAATTGATACACCCGTGAAACATTAACTGTTTTTGTAAATAGGGCACGAGCTCCGTTATTGTTAATGTTTACGATTCACCGGGTGTGTTTAATTGTTAAAGTCTGCACACACCACGGAGCACGGACTGACAATAAACTGTGAGCGCATTTTACTCTGAATTTTTTAGATTATAATTTTAATATTTTTATTATTATACCAAATATTCCGCTTTTCTTACGTATTAAGAATAAAAATATAATTTGTGAAAGTGCAAGAACGTGTCAATCAAACTCGACCAGAAATTCAAGGTTTCAATATGAAATAAGATTTTTATTATATTTTCTTGTGAAATGCTATTGCAATATTTAAGTCGTAATATTATACAGAAAATTTGAGAAAATACCAATTTCAAATCTGTATCTTTGCACTTTTAAAGGGCTTATTTCCTAATTTAAAAAGTTGCTGTATGACATACAGTATACAGTATACTACGAGGGTTGATTTAAAAGGTCATACGACACGTTCCTCAAATATATATCCTGTTACTCTTGGTATTATATTTACAGTGTACATTTGTCATTCTCTTCTGATGTCTACATTGTTTTCAAAATGTTTTTAGATATAAGTACACCCAAAATTGTGATATAGGCCATTCAAGAGATTTCCCATAAGAAATATGACTCCGTGGTATCTCGTCCAGATGCCTGGTTAGGTACCCTAATTTTTTGTGAGGAAACTTATTTAACGTGTGACCTTAAAAGGAATGTCACAACTTCGATAAAATTGCTACGTAAAACAACAAAGTTATTAATGATGAAAGCAACATTTATTTCAAATCAGATCTGAAAATTTCAATTAAACATGATCTATACTTTTCAAAAAATATCGGATTATATACAGAGTGCGATTATGATAGTCGCCGCACCTAATAACGTCGTATGATGGAAACACGCCGTCATACACTTAAACGCTTCCCTTCGTTTCATTAAAAAAATATTTGAGATTCACGAACACGTTCACAAATTTCACTTTTTTAAATGAAAACTTGGTACCCATCGTATACTCACTCTTTTCATAATTAATGCATCTGTCAAAATTGTTTGAACAGTAATAGGAGACAAACTTAAAATTTTACATATCGCTCTAATCGTCTGTCTTTTTTAACAACGTCACACACCGTTGAACGTTTCCGTTCGCCCTCCCATCTCATTTCCTTGTTATCTGCTTAGCATTAATGACCCATCACCCACCCAAAATCGCTGAAACCATCTAAACAAGTCTCTATTTATATTCTTTCCCCTGTGAGTCTGGTGCTGGCGATTTCTCCATTTTGAAGGAAATTCGTTGTGGCGGTTTTTTTTCCCATTTCGACATTGCCTTTTTTAATGCATCGGAGTTAAACAACGATATTTTTTTTAATCAAAAATGATGCAATGATGTCATATAATTTTCAAATTAAGACTAGAAAATGATGTACATTTTTGTTTTTTAAAATAATGGGCGATTAGGCGCTTTTAAAAGATGCTTTTTTATGTGTTCGTCTTTTTTATTCTAAAAAAAAAAAAAAAATCTTAATTTGTGATAATGTTGACCGTCGTTTTTCGAACAAATCGTTCGGATTCTAAGACACAGCAACGGAAAGAAGAAACAGCGTAGATTTTAATGTAACTTAAAAAAGAGCAACATAGAAAAACTTAATTTGACAAAAATTGCTTCCATCATTAAATATTTGAATTTCTTGCCTATTGGAAAACTCATAAAGGCCTAACCTTCAATGTATTTTTTAAATATAGAATGATTGAATTATTCACGAAATATTTTTTGTTGGTAAAATTTTCTTGAAATATGTGCATTTTCCCCCGTCTATGTGCATTGTGATGAAAGAAACTTGCATTTTAAAATTTTAAACTCTACTCATACATGTCATATTCTGTCAGAAATATTTGAAAAAAAAACCAGATGTCGACTTGCATATTTTATATCTATGCTACAAAGTTCTCCAAGGGACGAAATTATAGACACGAAAACAAGGCGATAAAAAACTCACCATAGACACTACATGGCCTAGTGTTTGTTAATCAATATGACTAAAATAAGCTTTTAAAAAATACATGTATCAAAAAATTATGAAGAAAGTTTTCAGCTCAAAGTCCTTCTTCTCCTTTAGCATGAAGGAAAAAATTAAACTAAAACTGCTTTTTAGCTACAGAGAATATTTATTATCAATACACTAAGTTACTTACTTTTTGAATTGCACTCAAAAGCTCTGTCTTGTTTTGATGAGTATGTAAATAAAAGTAACCACGTGCATTATCAGAAAATGTCCCAACAGAAACTTGTACATCATTTGGTCCAATGTCTAGATCATTCACGAAGCCTGCCACAAAATTCCTCTCTTTTTCAAAGTCTTTGATTCCAATGCTAGTAGAAGCGTCAAGCACGAATAAAATATCAGCCGGTGTTTTAGCACAGGCTGGAAGAAAAAGTAGCATTTAGAATACACATTGCAAAAATAGGAGCAGAGCAAACAAGGGCCTCCAAAACGTCAGAGCTGGGATCAGGTGCCATCGAGGAGTGAACATCCCCTGCCACACAGTCACTCCCGCCATGTGTCCCTTGTCATGATCGGGAAATAACGGAAAAATCAGTGGACAATTCAGTGAGTACATAATGGCCTAAAATTAGTATGAAAAAAAATCAGTATTTTACGTAGAAATAAATTGTATTTGCTGCCAAGGCTATTGTATCGATCACTGAACTAACGAAATGCTAAACTTAAACGAGACTGCTTATATTCTTGTTTAAGCAACTTGTTTTTCAATTACTAGTATAACTTCCATGTACCTCGTTTTAAAAATTGTTCATACTTAGAGATGCTGTTGCGTATCGAATCAATAGAGAGATACAAACCCAGTTTTTAATTCGATATTTTAATCGATGGCCAGATCGAACATTATAATATAATTTATCTTACCAGCAAGATCTGCATATGAAGAATCGTGGAGTGCAAATAGAAGGGAGGTTTGGAGAAGAATATTAACAAAACTATTTTTTGTTGTATATTCCATGAGAGAGGTTAAGTGTGGCAGCTTATCGCAATTTATATTCACACACAATAGCACTGAGTCCCAATTTATGATACTGCCCCTTTCCTATCAGCTCTGAAAATGCTCTATTTCTTTGGAGTATTATATCATTTCAGGAACCCAACATTGTCGTCTTTTCGGATAACAACAGCATGTTTTGATGTGTAAAATAACCGTTTATCAGGTATTTTTAGCGGGATGCTAGCTTTGGCTCATTTAAGCAGTCGTGTAGTAAGTTTAAAACTAAAATTTTAATCGCAAAATTTGCACTCTCATAATTATCACTAGTAAAAAGAAATATCACGAAAGTCTGATGTATAAGCATTTGGTATTCTATTTAATCAAGCTTTTGTGTAAATCGGTATTCCAACATATATTAAACATACTGAAACTTATGTAAAAGATGAATTTCCTTTCTTTTGCAATTTTACAGAAATCTGCATCCGCCAAAAAAGTTCTGCCAAAATTATTGGCACGTTTGAGCAAACAAAACGCCAAATTCTACACCCGCCAAAGAAACAGTAATCTAGTAAAGAAACACGCTATACGGTAGCATAACTTGATACCCTAGTAAATTCGAGTTAAAATTTATTTGCAATTCGACAACAATTTGACAGAGCATACTGATATTCGTTCATGAACGTGATGACTTTAACTTTTCAATCGTTAACTTCTTTTTATGCAGCAATATACCTTCGTCACCTGCATATGGGGTTTATATCTCTCAGTTGATTAGATACACAAGAGCATGCTCTACGTATTTTAAAACAATTTCTAAAACGATGAAGGTTATTGACAGGCAAGTCGATAAAAAAGGAATATCAGAAGTTTCGTTCAAAGTTATCATTTCGTAAGTTCCATGGTCGATACGATGTCCTTGTCAGCACATACAAGGTTTTTCATATTTACTGTTAGATCATATCGTCGACGGATTTTTCCGTCATTTATATGACCGATCGACAGGGGATTCCCACTCCTCCATGGCAACTGATCCCAAATTGAATCTTTTGGATGTATGTGTTTGCTCTGCTCTAAATTTGATTTGTTAAATTGACTTTTGAGGTTGAATACTGTTCGATATCTCCATTTATTTCAAATATTTTTTATATAATATATGAAATGCCAAATTTTCAAAATATTAAAAACTGGAATTCGTCAATACGCTTTGAAAAATCCATTAATAATATGATTCTTGCACCAATTCAATTCAATTAATGATTTTTTATACTTGTAAAAGATATGCCTAATTTACAACATAATGTACCAAACTTTGCATGCATTAATTCCATTGTTTAAGTTAATTCTTAAGATTTAATAAATTGATTTTTGATATTAGTGAATTTTCTTTCTTTTAATTAATAAAATATATGTGATTATTAAAATAAATTACAACTGTTTCTTTCATTACTGAAGAGATTTGATTAATTTGCACAGACATTGTAGAACTGTTCCTTTGAAGTGAATAACTGTTTTTAAAAAAATAGTTATTGCACACAACAATTCAATTATTTCTCTATTCAATTGAATCAATGAAATGTGAAGATAACGAACAGATTCACGATCAAGGTTCAGTTAAACAAAACAAATCGAGAGCAGAGCAAAAAATATTAGAGGTGGGATCAGGTGTCATGGTGAAGAGGGCATCCCCTGCGATAGGTTACATCACCACGTATTCACATGTATTCAATTAAAACATATGGAGACAACGAACAGTGTTCAAGATCAAAAATCCATACAATACAAAATAGGAGCAGAGCAAACACGAACCTCCAAAACACCAGAAGTGGAATCAGGTGGACTGAGCATCCTCTAGCTGCTGACCGGTCACACCCACGGTGTGCTCCTTGTCATAATCGGGAAATAACAGAAAATACCGTCGTTAATTCAATGTATAAATAATGGACTAACAACTAATATGAAAAACATCAGTCAGCATTTGACTTCAGTGATAAATTTTATCAATTCATATTATTTATTAAATTTATGGATGCAAAGATACATTTAGAGAGAGAGAGAGAGAGAGAGAGAGAGAGAGAGAGAGAGAGAAACTTTTAAATCAGTGATATGTTCAATCCATTCAACCCATCAATGATTTATGTGATCTTCACTTATAAATGGACTGTTGCTCTGTTTAAAAAAATATACAGGTTCACCTTGATATTAATTCCTATCTTAAAATTGATTCAAATTCCTTTTTTAAAAATCGTCTGGAATAAAGTAAAGATATTTAAATGAATTATAGATGTGTCAAATTATCTTTACAAAGGCCTAAATTAATTTTGCGAGAAACACCCCCACCACATTGTTGAACCCAAATGCTTGTTGCGCGTCTTTTAAATTTAACTTTTCAGAGATAAGAATGTAGGCATCAGTTTTCTTCCTGATCCAATCAAATGATTTGTCAATCTGCTTGTCGAGTTCAACAATATGGTAGAATTATTTGTTGCAAAAATTTAGTTCCACTCTTTCTTTTAAAAATATAAACTTTAAAGAAGCAAAACATGCATTTGACATTTTTCTGTCATTCAATAGGTTTAGTAGTTTTCATCAAAGGCTTACCGCAAAAATATAATTAAACAAATTTTTAAATGAAGAATATTTTAAACGTAACATTCTGATGAAAAAGTAAATAAAAACTGCTCTTGTGTAATTTATTAGATTCTCACAAAACTTGACAACTGTTTTACCCCTTTTGTACAATTGTGTTAAATCAACCAATAATGATAATTTTTGGATTGGTAGCTGAAAAACAAAATCAGATTCTGAGATATATATCTTGAGCATTCTTTTTTTCAAACACGTATTGACAAATGAAACTTTTTAAAACACCAAATACAACAAATGAACATCAAATGACATTTTATTATGACAAAACAGGTCGATCTGAATTTACAAACATTGAAATCACTTGAAATGACAAAGAAGCAAGATGTATAATAAATCCCATTACTCACTGATTGTTGAGGAATATACTGAACTGGTAATACCAATCAGATTTGATGTTGTCTGGGAACTTTGTTCACTGGAGTCCCGTGTAATTGTTGGAGTACTTGTCACAGGCTCCGTTATTGCTATATATAGGTGTGGAAAGACATGGATATAACTTATATCTATGTTTGGAAGCATTAAATCAGTAACTAGTAAAACAACTCTTTTGAATGCAATCAGCACAGAAGAGCATCTAAATATATTTAAAAAAGTAAAAAAATTACTACGATTTCTAAGGAATGCCTGCTCCATATAACTGGACAATAGGTACAAATCTTCCTTAGTAAGACTTAATTTTTGTCTTCAGCATTCAATATTATATCTCTAATATATATTATTATATCTATTGAAATATACCTACGATTACAAAAATTACAAAACAGTGCACAATTATTTTCGGCGTAGGTTTGGTTTGTAAAACAAACTATAAGCCCAAGATCAGCACAGTCGTTCCTGACGTTTCGGCAGGGATTTTGAGTAGTTGATAGAAGGGAGGTCTTTGTATCCAGCGGCGACGATGGTGGTATCGAGGTTGTTGATGGTGGTGCTTCTGTGGTGTACTGAGTTGAGGCTGAGGTAGATGGCGACAAGGTAGCGGTGGTTTGTTTTGTGGCTGTCGTGGATCTTGTTTTGTTTGAGACTGTGGTAGTCGTAAAATTTGTTGTAGAAGATTGTAGTGAGGTTGTCGTTAAAGTAGACGTGTCAGATGTTGGTGATAGTGTGTTGTTTATAGTTGAGTTGGTTGAAGCTAAAAGGAAGAAAATAGGATTCATTGCGATAAATCCAATGGTTCAATCCAACCAGCATCTCCGTGAAAAAGGACACATTTCATCGCTGCATTGACTTCTTTCACCTTTACATAGCATGTTGGAATAAAATGTACATGCACGTACGTTTGCAAAACCGACAGAACTGTGGACATTGAATTGCTGCCCAGGATGTGTATTTGGCACAGATATCTGTTCCATATGTACCACAACTGGCAATTTTGTCCTCACAGACATCATAAACTCCTGAAAAATGACCTTGCATTTAAAAAAGCAAAATTTCCCCAAAAATCAAATTCAATTGTTTATTAATGTAAATAGTTATGCATGGATTTGTAACTTTTAAACGTTCCACAATTGAATTCATTCATCAGTAACAAAAATGGAAATTCCCTGAGAAATATACATAGCGGTCGAATTATCAAGAAATTAACCCACCTAACTTTCTTCAAGGATATTATCACAGAGAAAACAAGTAGAAATCGAAATATAAAGATTACCATCGCTGTCATTAGTCTTGCTTCAAATTTCCGCATCCTGAATGTGAAAAGTTCGACAATATTTATATGTTCAATGTCTGAGTACTTACTCTGTGTAGTTGAAGGTGCTGTCGTCGTGGTCTTGATTGATGTTTGTATTGTTGGTGTTGTAATTTTGTCTTCAAATGAAAAAGAATATTTGAAAGAAAACAACTTTTCCTTATAAAGACAAAATATGAAACTCTTTCTTAGATATGATTTTTAAAAAATTCTCCGAAGAGTTCGCATGGTAAAAATATGAAATCTTTCGTAATGAAATAATTAGACGAATCGGGTACAAACCATGACAAAATATACAGAATCTAGCACAGTTTTCTATTGCCCAAAGTCTGTAGTTAGTGCAGACTGTGTCTCCATAGGCAGCACAGTTTGAAATCTTGTCGACGCATGGTCCTGATATCAGGAAAAAACACATTTTAAAATGTTCTCTGTGGTTTAAAATTCTAATTCTGACTGAATGTTAATAACATTTTGTACTAAAACACTCATTTAAACATACTTCAAGACAATTTTTAGCTAATCAAAACATTATCATTTGAAATATGACCTTAGCATACCATTTGAATGCTATTAAATTTTTTGTCTTTCATGAGCGCCCATATTCTTGTTAATTCAGATAAAATGTGCCATATTCTTTATTCCAATAAAATCTCTTTGATCTATCTTATTTCTACGTGATAACTAGATGTCGTGGATTCACCTTCTGAGATGTGTTGTGGGACAGGTCCTAAAGTTAAAAATAAAGATGAGGAAATTATAAAATGCAACTTTAATATCAATAAAAATTATTTGAACACATATACATCATTACAAAATTTTGTCTTACCTTTTAATGTTGATGTTTTTATCGTCGACGTTGTCGGTTTATTTGTATTTAAAGGTAGAGTGGTTGTTGTCATTGGTAAAAATGAAATTGATTTAGTTGTTTGAATGGTTGTCATTTGTTTTGTTGGTGAAACCTGTGTGTGAACTTTAAAAAGAAAGAAAAATATCTTAAACAAACAAAATCACGATTAAATTCTTTTGATTTCATGTTTTAAATTATTACATGTAGGTTGTAAATAGATTTTGCTGCAGCACCCACATTGACAAAATCCACAGTAGTCAGGGCAGTTCATTTGCATCCACGCTACGTAAGAAGGATCCAAGCATGTGCTCTTTGAAAACTTATAACAACTCGAAATCTTGTCGATGCACAATGTTCCATTAATAACTGAAATATTAGAAAACCAAAAAGTAAAACAGCTGAAATTTACACAATAAATTTGCAACTACACGTTATTTTCTTGAGTAGTAAAATAACTGAGAAGAAAATATTGCAAGAGGAAAACATCAAATGGCGGATACAAAAGTGTTTGTTTAAAGGTAAACTGACTGGTATTCTACACATGTGTAAGAGGAAGATCATCGCTTCTCATCTGAAATTAGCATTGAGAGTAAAATTATGATATAAATCCAGTTCAGCCATATATTTCACTTTGAAACTGCTAATACATCAGATTCTTAGTATATCTTTAAAAATGATTTGATTCATGATTAATTTTCTTAATTCTTGTTCTGAAATACACGCTTAAAATAAGTTACCATCACAATACGTTGCCTGCACTAGGTGCTGTATGGATGGGAGATCGGAAAAACTGTCAACAGTAAACACGTGCTCATGATCCGTTGCAATGTTGATCAATTCACTCGTAGAAACATGTCCGATTCCAATAGCAAACACCTTAGCCCCAGTGCCTTTGAGATGCTGTGCTGCCTGGTGTGTCAGATAAATATTATAGGATTGTCCGTCTGTCAGAATATAGACAATGTTTGGAGCTTGAGGGCGGTCGCCATTTTCTGACGTGAATGTGTAATGCTCAGCCATATCCAAAGCAAAATGGGTGTTTGTGCCTCCGGCTGTATATGGTATCTGTCAGAAAATAAAACGTAAATAAGAGTTTCAGGGATATTGACCTGCTGGTATCAGCACCTTATGGCAATTTTTACCAAGGAGGAATAAGGATTCCCTATCGACCAGATATTCCTCCGTAAACTTCTTGTATTGACCAGGTTAAACCCCTGTCACACCGGGACTGCGTCCTCACGGCGATTGCACGGCGTCCTCAAAAAATGCAAAACGCCGAGGTGATCGCAGGAGAGTCTCCTACAGCGCCGTGACAACGGGGCGAGTTCTCCACTGAACGCCGTAGGGTCGCGTAGGGTCTCCTAGAACGCCAGGGGACGGCGATCACTTTGGGCACGCACAAAGTACGCGCCGTGTGATCGCGGTCTGATAAGAACGCAGCAGAAACGTAGTATGATCGCCGTAGCAGCACGGTGAGATCTCCAACAAAGTAGTGGGAGCTCCGCACGAACGCCGTGAAGACGCACATGATCGCGGCGCGAATTTAACGCAGTGATAGTAGACTGCACTTCCTCGGAGACCTCACGGAGATGTAGCGGAGTCCTTGGAGATATCACTGCGTTTTTATCGCGTTTTTACGGCGCTTCTAATGAGATTTATCGTCTTGTGATTTTTTTCGACTGCGATTATACGACGACAGCACGGAGTTGTCACGGCGATCATCGCGCTCCCATGGCGTTTCTACAGCGTCCGTTGGCGATCACAATGCGCTTTCACGGCGTTGTTAGAGCGTTGTCAGCCAGATCACAAAACAAGAGCAGTGGGATCATATTTGAACAGCAATACTTCCAATGTATTTGTTGCACTTGGAGCATTTAGTGGAAAAAATGGAAAAGAAAATTACACCAGAACTTATTCAGTTGTTTCATTTAAATTTTGAAGAAATTTTTTCAGTGTGTATATTTTTTTTTACATTTATAATAAAATCAAAGAAAATCTAACAATACATCTGAACCGATAAAATTGAAAAAAAGGAGTTTAATCACAAAACTATTAATAATTTAGTACTAAGCTATTTAAATAGAACATTTTTAATTTTTAAGAATATTTCTTGGCATGATTAGAAGTCTTTTCATCAGGTAACTTGAATCTTTAAACAAAAATGTTTTACATTCCTTCTGAATATATATCAATGAGTATAGAACGCATTGTGAACGTATTTTGAACGCAGCCAGTGCAGTGAGAACGCCGTGAACACGAGATGAAAACTCCGCGGAAGCGCAGTCAATAGCCGATAGATCTCCGTGGGAACGCAGTAGAACGCCGTGAGATCGCCGTAGAATCGAGTCCGTTGCCATAGGGACGGCGTGACATCTTTATATTGTGAAAATTTTACAGAAATTTGTGCAATTTTCCTGCGATTCCACGGCAATTTTAAAAACTTAACAACCCAGTTAGGACTCCGTGTAAATCCAGCTTGGTGTGACAGGGTCTTAAGCGAGAGGTACATAGTATAAAAGCAATTGCCTTACTCAATTGCAAACTATATTATCAAAAGTAATATGAAATCAACTCATTTGTCAATAGCCTGCATCGGTTAAGAATTTAATTGATCGTATTTGCAAAATAATATTGTATACCAAAGAGGAAGGTAGACATGATAGATAACTTTTCAATCATCAGCTTTTCTCACGGATGTACGTAGCAATAAACCATTTCCACCTACATGTTGGACTTGAATTTTTCAGTTTACACAAGAGCATGTCCTATGCTCGAAAAAGTTTAAAATGAGGAAAGTTATTGACAAACAAGTTAATGAAACAAGAACATCAACGATCTCGTTTAGAGTCGTCATTTAACAAATCCTATTGTCGATACAATAACCTTGCAATTGACAGCAAATAAAAACTATCATTAGTCACATTGTGATGGACGTTTTCCATACTATTTTAATTCCATTATTTACACAATGAATTTTTCACGGATTTTCCTTTTCCCGATCATGATAAAGGGCACACGGTGGGTTTGACCGATGGGCAGATGATGTTCACTCCTCTATGGCACCTGATCCCACCCCTGATGTTTTATAGAGGTCTGTATTTAATCTGGTCTTCATTTTTATTATTTGAGCTTATACACTGTTAGATATTTCTATTCATTTCTGCAAAAAATATTATGTTTTATTTTTGCAATTTTTTTTCGGATGTAACATTTTTCAATCTATAGCAAAAATTCCACCTTTGCTTCAAAAACATATACGGACTAAAAAAGAAGAGCTAACAATTGAAAAAAAGTTTATCTATTACTTACCCGCGCAATGGCATTCAGAAGGCTGTATTGGTCGTGATAGGAGTTAAGTCGAATGAAGCTCCTAGCGATTGTGGAGAATGTTCCCACAGAAACCTGGGCGTCATATGGTCCGATATTCAAAAATGTGACAAACTTGGACACAAAATTCTTCTGAAGATCGAAGTTATCAGATCCCTCACTTCCAGAGGAATCCAGTAGAAACAGAATGTCTGCTGGCGCCGCTTGACATGCTGAAAATCTTTTAGATTTTAGGGTCGACTATTTGATTCGGTAAGGAATAAAATGACTTTTTTTTCCAGAGTGGTTAATATTTTTTTCATAAAATTATATTATATGCATATTACTTTTATAAAATAACATATATACCTTCAATTTCAAGATGATGAGGCCATGTTTAAAATGGCGTTTGTGTGCATTAATTCTCCAGACTCGGAGTAAAAAAAATAGTCTGTAGGTAGAATGCTGTTTTTTTTTTTCTTTCTAGAAAATTTCAGCATATATCTTAACTGGATGAGAAAATTCAAGGGTAAAAAATTTTTACTAGAGGACAGAGGTTAAACAAATGTTAACTTTTTGTGTTGCTGGAGATTCTTCCTAAAATTGACCTGTGTCATCAAGACATCAATATATAAATCAGATAAAAGTTAACAATTCTACTCGACAGTGACTACTATGAATGACGATGGTACAAACCTTGTGATCGACGAGGCAACGTATGCGTATAACACTGCTGAATAATACCCAGAATGGTTATTATTAGAAATATTATTCCACTTATTCCGATCATAGTCTCCTCTGTTTATCACCAATTTAAAGGTCAGTTTATGATAAGAATATAGGTTAATATAAGGCCATGATAATTGTGAACCTTTCTAAAAATTTATTTTATTCCTGTACATTTTAAGAAGACTTTGCACAACTGTAGGTGTATGTAACATGTAGAAATGATTATAAATCTGTTGCGGTGGCGGGTTTTTAAAAAAAAACATATTAAACGTTTGGAAATACATTTATCTAAGGTATTGGATCCAAACTATATTATATAATTTGATGAAGTATTGTGATTTGATTCAATGACAATTTTCCATTCTTTTTTATTTTCATATTAGCTATCAACAGATATTGGACAAAGACATTGGCATTGAAAGTTACTCATGAAAACTAAAAGAAAAAACATAATAAAAATGGAAAGTGTTGTTCTTTGATAAACAATCGATTTCAAACTTAATTTTTTTTTAGTTTAATATATAAAGAATAAATTCAATTTTCTTTTCTGGAAATATTATATCATTTTTTTTCAACGAAGATAGAAAAGTGTTCAAGAGGAAGTCAAACGAAAAATCGATCACTTTTAGGTCAAGGTTTTAATCAATATCATAGGCAAACATTGACTTTTCACGAGGTCCGTGAGAGCTTCATCTTTGCGAATATTTCTTGTCGCGAACCGGTCCTTAACGTCACTCTTTCTATAAACAACAGATTCTATAAAGGCTTGATCGCGAAAACTAATCGTCGCAAAATAGTTTATCCCCCAGTAAACCGAAAAATAAAGCCGTCGCGAATAAAAGTTGGTTATGCCATGAAATATATGTAGATAACGAATAGTATTCAAGCTCAAAGTCCAATAAATAATACAAAATTGAAGCAGAGCAAACATCCAAAACATCAGAGGTGGGATCAGGTGCCATGTAGGAGTGAACATCCACTTCTGACCGGTCCCACCCGCTGTGTGCTCCTTGTCATGAACCAATCAATTCAAATTAAAGTATAGAAAAAGAAATTTCGGTAGTGCGCTTGTTCCATGATTGGAAGGTGTTCGGTTCAAACCCTGGCCTTCAAAATTTCAAACCCTTCACCGGTGTATGATCTATGATAATAGTGTATCTTCGTTTGTATTTGTAAATATTCGCCAATTAAAAGGCATAGTATATTGTACATGATAAGTATTTTTAATTTCTTTCTTTCAACTTTCATTACTGGAAAATTCCTCTCCAGAATCAATTTTGTTTCATATGAAACACACATTGGGCTATTATGATAATAAATACTGTACATATTAGTACTTTAAAGTGCAATGAAAAGTTTTGAACATGTATTTGAAAGTTCAAGTTCATTTATTTCAATAATAGCTACATGAGGTCGAGTATATAAATAAGATGAAAAAAAAATGAATATATGATACATTTACAAGAGCATAAATGAAAGTCTTATACATATGTACAAGGTAAAACAATAAACATACAACGAGAAAAGAAAAGAATGGGATGGTCATATTTTAATTATGGAGGACAGACAGAGCAGAAATAATGTCAAACTTCTTAAATCAATTACAATTTTATAAATGTTGTTGAACATGTTAAAAGAAAGTAATTTAAAAAGAATTAAGTCTGCTTCCAAAATATTTTATTTAAGACAATGTAATTACACAGGTAAATGCATTCTACTGTTTTTCTTTTTCCATCCGAGACTTCATCTTTGTTTCAGCAAAATGTTTCAAGAATGTCATGGTAGATCTATAGGATTCCTAAAAAAAATGATTTTACATACGAGTCTGGTGCTTTTAGCTTATCATGTCTCGATTTTAATGATTCAGAAAGGATTAGGACGCCTTTACCTTGTTAAGAAAGTCCACATCTTCCTTTTCGTAGTCAAAGACCGTTGTCCCTACATAATGAGTATTGATGCCAACTGTTCTAGACACATCTGCTGACTGACGGAATACAAAATCGTTAGCCAAGATAGTAAATACATGTATTAAAAATATCATTAAGGTTTTGACAACAGTAATTTTTTTGTAAAATCAATTTTAAATTAGCCCAAACTGTGTAAATGATTGAGAGTTGCAGTCTTACCATATAAATATTTCTTTGCAGAATTCTGTAAGCACTCAAAAAAATACTTACACTGATTCCCACTTGCGTGACGTTACAAGATAGTCCTGTATAAATTGCCTGAACAAGATTCAGCAATGTCGTCACTTCCTCTCTTTTAAACCCGTGGCTGCAATTTACTATTGAAAATCCATTTTCCTCAATGAACATGACGACTTCACGAAAATTCAACTAAAATGCATTAAAAGTTGAGGATGATATGTGTGGACATCGCCTTGAAAAATAATGATTTTGCCAAAAATGGACCGAAGGCGTACCTTGCCATTTCCATCTTTATCCAAGCGATTAAGAACATCCTCCACAGTGACACCTTTTCCAAAAAGGCGTTCTTTTTCACTTTCAGTGAAACTTTTCTATGAAACACAAACATGTAGCTTCAGTAATAATCTCATAAAAGTGTACCTTATTTTAATCCATTTGTAAGTAAAGAATGAGTGACATAAAAAGAAATATTCACTTTATTATATTTCTTACAAAATCTGTAAATACACTCCAGCAAATATTCACTATAGTTAATTATAGTTTATCATAGTTCATAGTTTGACCAGTACTAGCCAGCAGGAACTGCTCACTGCTACATGGCACCTGATCCCACCTCTGATGTTTTGGAGGTGCGTGTTTGCATGTTTTGCTCCTGTTTTGTATTGTTTAAGGACCATTGTTTAATGGACTTTGGAGTTTGAATACTGCTCGTGATCCCCATATATTTCATACTTAAATACTTTTAGTTCTCCTAAAACCAGCTCATTCATTTATTAAATCTAATATCTACAATATTGATATAGAAATTGAGAGGTATTTAGTCTCTAGATCTAAACAAGAGGCCCATGGGCCACATCGCTCACCTGAGTACCTTAGGTGATGCAGTTCTTTACCAGATTCCCCCTCTTGCTATACCTATCATGCCCAACAACCCCCTTCCCTTTTTTATTTTAAAACTTTAGAATCTACACTACCCAAGGATGCTTCCACGTAAGTTGCAGCTTTCCTGGCCCTGTGGTTCTAGAGAAGAAGGTTTTTAAAGATTTGTTCTATATTTTTCTATGTAAAACTTGGAATTCCCTATTGTGGCCCCGCCCTACCCCCAGGGGTCATGATTTTTACAATTTAATATCTACACTACCAAAGGATGCTTCCATATAAGTATCAGCTTTCCTGGCCACGTGGTTCTTGAGAAGAAGATTTTTAAAGATTTGTTCTATATATATTTCTATGTTAAACTTGGATTCCCTATTGTGACCCGCCCTACCCCTGGGGGTCACTATTTTAACAATTTAATATCTACACTACCCAAGGATGCTCCAACATAAGTTTCAGCTTTCCTTGCACAGTGGTTCTTGAGAAGAAGATTTTTAAAAATTTGTTCTATATGTTTCTATGTAAAACTTGGATTACCTACTGTGGCCCCGCCCTTCCCGGGGGGGTCATGATTTTAAAAATTTAATATCTACACTACCAAAGGATGCTTCCACATAAGTTTCAGCATTCCTGGCCCAGTGGTTCTTGAGAGGAAGATTTTTCAAGATTTGTTCTATATATTTCTATGTAAAACTTGGATTCCCCATTGTGGCCCCACCCTACCGCTGGGGTTTATGATTTTAATAATTTA